AGCTGGAGTCTTTGAGTGTCTTACCAACAGCACTGAGGCATAACAAGGAGGAACTCTGTTTTATGACAAGAAAATCTAAACAACTGAAAGAACTTTTACCTGAAGTCGTGCCCAAAGTTCTCTTGCTTCCCTGTCTCCTGAATTCTTTTCAATCATATCCATTTGGGGCTGGATTCTTTGTCTGGCAAAGAAAGTCACCCAGTCAGTCTGCCAGTCATTCACCTGAAGGAAGAGGATTGCAGATGTTGGTTCTGCATCACACAATAGACAGCTTTTCTTTTTTCAAATATAACTTCAGAGGAATATACAACTTTATGCTGAAAACACCCCGAATAGTAAATGTTACGATTTTAATAAGAAATATCTTAAAATGTTAAAATAGGGGAAAAATACTGAGCAATAAAATACAAAGAAAAAGAAAAGGTATGGATGTCTAATGCATCTGTAAGTGGTGTCCAAGGCACAACTTTCTTTCACAGGCTAAACAACGCTTTTTCTTTTTAAAACGTCAGAGATAAATGAATTTCTATTACAATATTTGTGGCCCTTTGTTCAGGGCAAAATAAAATAAAATAAAATTCTATCACTCTCATGAAGTGCAACCTACCTGTGGAAGATAGCCACAGCAGGTAACTGTATGAAAGCCAAATTGATCCACAAACTGGACTTCCATTTGCCCTTGCCCTTTACCTTTCAAACCAAAGACAAAAATCCAATACCAATGACAAGATTCTAAGCATCTAAATTACAAATGGACCTTAAAAACTACACAATGAAAGGTAGAAAGCTTTTCCTACTGAGATTTTTAAATTGCATGTTATTATACTGCTCGTTACAATGGGTGCTGCTGTCAGTTAACTTTAGAGCTCAATGTAAATTAACCACATTATAAATTCATCACCAGATTTTGAGGTAGTAGATCTGCTCTAATATCCTGTCCTTGTAGAAGCCATGGTTCAGGATTTCAAGGGTCCAAACTGAACAATCATTTTGCTTACAGAAGTCCAAAATAGAACAAACAGAAGCAAAACAACAAACCCATCCCCACTGAGCCTGAGTGTTTCTTCCACAAATATTCTTAGGCCATCTTTAGTGGAAGAAGAAAATATATCCTGAAATAGCAGAAGCTAATTGAACTGTTTCATAAATTATTAACTAGGTTAAACTCATTCACAGCTGTGTACTGTACCAACTGTGCTCTCTTCTTTCTTCAGCTTCTCTCCAAGTTGCTGGTTATGAAGGTGGAGATCAGCCAGTTGAGTTCCAAGCTTTGATGAATGCCTAGAAACAAAAGCATCCTTAGCGAAGAAGACAGAACTCACACTCTTCTTTTTATCTGTCACTCATTCTATCGTCTTCTCTCTAAAAGGCCTATGAGACCAAAGAGTATGATGGCCTTCATTGTATCTTCTCTTTTTAATTCTTAAATAACAGTTTGCCCTTTACACAGTTCAGGAAAGTCCTGCTGTAATTACAAACAACTCTCGCAGCCAATTGCCTCCCATGTGAATGACACTGTGCTACTTCTCCTGTCTCTCACCTCTCACATCTCTCCCTAGTTCTAAAGGCAGTCGTGTAAGGCAAGGTCATTTCTCCATGTTCTTCTCATTAACACATATCATAGCAATCTCCTGAAATTTGTTGGTTGGGGATGCATTTCTACCCTTCTTCTTAGTCAGCAAAAACACAACAGAATTTCTGCTCCTCCTGTTGGAGCTCACCGAGTTGTCTTAACCAATTAGAAACTAAGCTGGCTGCAGAAATTCTGAGACTAAAACAGGAAATCAGCTATGCCCATCTCCTAATGAAACTGCAGGGAAAATACTCATCGCTTTTTAAATTACTCAAGCATTTGCAACAAAGAAGGGCCAAAGGCTTAAAGCCATCAACATTGATGTGAGAACTATTGAAAAAATAAAATGAAATCTGGATGCAATCATGTTTGGAAGTAGCTTTCCATTTTCATGACAAGAAATAATAAACACTGCTTCTTATATCAAATACAAGCATATAAAACAGCTGACCAAATAAGTAGTTTACTGTAGTCCTTACTGTAAAAAACAACCATTTAAAAATAATTAAGTATTATAAAACTAAACAACACACACACTTACTGATGTATGACCTGACTTACTAGCTGAAGTATTCTGATGTATTTTATGTATTTTATATAGTTCTCTGCTACATAAATTCCTAGAAGTATCTTGACCTGACACAAAAAAAAAATCCCCCCCCCCTCCGAGAAAAAAGATATTTACAAGATATTTAATTGCCATGGCAGTCAACATTTCTGACAAAAGAAGCAATGATACTGCTGTGTTTTACCTGTTTAAGCCTCTCATTTCCAAATGTTCCATCACAAACAGAGTACTGACCCCAGGCAGGTCTATAACTTTGATGGGTTTAGGCACTTTTATTGTCTCTGTTTTCAGGATGGCTTCTAGACTTGCCATTTCTCCCTCAAACATTCTTCTAGCCTGTCAAATATTAAAGGAAAGCATTAATCTCTATTAACACCAGTCACAGGTAGAGAAAATTATTTCATAAAACCAATCAAGGCTGTAAACACAAAATCAAAACAAAGAACAAGTAGGTTAATGCATGTACAAGACAGAGATGGATCCAAACAACCTCATCTGACAACCGGTTTAGAATTAGATTTCACTTCATAATGTGATTCCATTAAGGGGACTTAATTTCTGCCATGCTCTATAAACACAAAACCAACTTTGTCTGTTTACAGTAGAAAGAATATAACTCATGTATATAAAATGTAAGTGATATTTTATTAATTGACCATGAAGCAAATGACTAGAAAGATACAATTCTGCAATTATTATCCACTTTGAGTAACATTTATTCTCTTGAGTTTCTCCACTGACATCAGAGGCACTAATCACATGAAGAAACACTGCTCTAGAAGAGTTACACAGAGCTGCAGAAGGCACATGGGAAATTGGTAATATTTGCTGAGGGTAAAAGCAATAAAATATAATGAATAAAACAGAAACAGAATACAAGCCCCATTACTAACACACAAAATACAGTGAGAGGACTGTTTACAAGAGACATCGACTTAAAATTCCACAACTGAAAGAAGATCAAGAACGAAATATTGCTACAATGCCTTTGTTTGGAGGAAATCTGTAAACTCTGCAATTCTATCTACATCATCATAACAGTAGCTCTGTTATGATGACTCTAATAGTTAGAATTAACTCTAATAGTTGGGAAAAAAAATAGCATTTTCTAGAGGATTTTGTTTTTTTAAAGAAACTGCTGATATATACACTGCACTGCATTACAGCTGCTTGGCAAAGTTTGCTTTAATCAGCATTTGAAATCCACAGACACGAGCAAAATAATTATAATATTAAAAAAAAAAAAAAACAAACAATTACTGAATAGAAAACCTTTCCAGATCTTTTTCCATGGCCCTATCTCATAATTAACTGCACTGAATCCCTAAAAACGCAAAAACGCACTGAACAAAAGCCTCAGTAGAATGGCTGTGTTTCACAGAATCACAGAATGGCCAGGGTTGGAAGGGACCTCAAGGATCATGAATCTCCAACCCCTGCCACATGCAGGGCCACCAAACTCCATGTTTAATGCTAAACCAGGCTGCCCAGGGCCCCATCCAACCTGGCCTTGAACACCTCCAGGGACGGGGCATCCACAACCTCCCTGGGCAGCTGTTCCAGCACCTCACCACTCTCTGGGTAAAGAATTTCCCCCTGATGTCCGACCTAAATCTCCCCTCCCTCAACTTAAAACCATTTCCCCTCATCCTACACATAGCAACCCTTTCAAAGAGTTGATTCCCCTCCCCTCTGTAGGCTCCCTTTAGGTATTGAAATGCTGCAATGAGTTCATCCCACAGCCTTCTTTTCTCCAGGCTGAACAAGCCCAGCTCCCTCAGCCTGTCCTCATAGGGGAGGTGCTCCAGTCCCCTGATCATCCTAGTGGCCCTCCTCTGGACCCTCTCCAACAGCAACAGTTTCAATTCAAAGCCTTTTCAGCCTCACACAGAGCACCACAGCCTGCCAGTGTTTTGCTTCCTTACCACCTACAGTGCATCAATCTTTGGTTCCCTGACACAGTCAGGGAGCATCAACAAATTTAGAACCATCTATAGGTGCAAGCAAACTTTAAAAACGATTCTTTGTTATTAAATGCAAATAGAAGTTCTTTGGTTAGTCCAATGAAACTGTCCACTTGGCTGCCACAAGCACAGAGTACCTTTAAAGTAAATTCCACCCAATCTTGATTTTTTTATACAAGCACACCATATACGAATGCTGTGCTGTATCATCTGCCAAAGGCAGACGGTTACTTTCTACAGCAGCTGGCAACGGATGTTGAAAGAACAAAGCCGAAAGTCTTGGACAATTGTGCAACACATCATTGATTGTGAAAAGCTCCCTACTGAAGGAAACGAGTGGTTGTTAGCACAAATTAACACGCATGTCCTCACTCAATACAGCTCTCTGGACACTTCCACAGCGCGTGCAGCTGCAGCGATGCAGCACTGCTCCTGCCCTGTATCAGAAACCAGCAGCAGGGGACAAGCTGCCAAACCAAGCAGATCTCCAAGCTCAGCAGCAGGCCAGCTCCTGGACTCCAGCTGCTTATCCGCTACCATCTGAGGCCAGCCGGCCAACCTCACCTCCCCCCTCACAAAGAGGCTCAGCCCGGCTCAGCCCAGCCCAGCCCGCCTCCAAGGAGCGGCCGCCCTCACAGAACCCCGCGCCGAACCAGAGGCTCGCCACACGCACCCCACCCTCAAACCCCCCCCCCCCACCTCCGGCTTAGAGTTGCTCTTCACATACACCCGGCCGCCGTCCGTCTCATAGCTCTGGCCCTGGTTGATACAACCGCCCCCCGAGTGCCCGGTAGCGCGGAGCACCGAGGTGCCCAGCTCCCGCCTCAGCGCTTCCTCCATGCCGCCTGCCGCGACCAGCGCCCAACTGAGCATGCGCGGAGCGGCTGCGCGGTCCGACGGGGGGCGGGGCCAGCAAGATGGCGGCGTCGTGTGAGGTGAGGGGCGATGGCTGGCGAGGGCGCTGGGCGGTGCTGGGTGTAGCTGACGGGAGCGGGCTGGCTAAAGGCGAGCGCTCAGCTGTGACTTCTGAGGGCGATGGCCTTTGTTTTTGTGTTAGCTTCTCTGCAGTCCGTTAGTGTTGGACGTGAGTCAGCGTCGATCAGAGATAAACAGTAAATCCCTTTTCTTCCCATTAGACTTTTGAGGTGACCTTGTAGGTAAATTCGTTAAATATTTAGTCAACTTTATCGAAAATACAAGTTTCCAAGTGTAGAAGCTGGAAGAGTTCCTACTAACCCTTTTTCTTTAGGTCTCTGTTAGTCTGAGATATGTATTTTGATTTTATATACATATTTTTATATTATATATTATGTTTTATATATTTTAATAAATTATTTTCTTAATGCCTGTGGTCTCACTGGTTTCAGTAGAAGAACTGAAATTCCTTCTTCCCAGAAATGTCCCTACTTTTCATTTTCAAGCCTTCCCATATGTCTTTATTATTCATTTTCTTTTCAGCTGCACCATCTTTATGGACAAACTGATGTGTTGGAGTTTGGCGGGATGTCTGGATTTATAGCAATCCAGACAGAACTACCTTGAATGTTTTTGCTATGCTGATACACTTCTGTCTTCTTCTACAGTGCCTGCGGAGATCAGCTGTGTGCTGCGTTTGTACCAAATCCAAACCTTGTGCTCTATACCATCTTATGACATTCATTGTACCGTAATTGTTTCTGTGCTTGATGTATTTACTTCCTTGGAAAGCACACTGTGTGAAGATACCATCAAGAGCAAATGAGCCACACGTTTTGTGCAAAAGAAATGTGACGTCTCCGTTTTGTCAGATTTACTGCATGTACCAAGACTATTCACGTGGCGGGTTTGCATTGTAATTGGTGCTTTTTAGAAGTACATATTCGTTGTCAGTCTGAAAAAATTACAAATTGACACACGATGGCTTCAGCTTGGGCTTTTAGCCACTCCAAATATGTGAAAAACATGCAAAGTTTTGCTTGCAGAAGGCTGGTAGAATTGCCTTTTTGTGCAGCTGAGCAGTAATTCACTTAACAGTTGGCTGTAAAAGGCATCACTGTTTGTGGATGTGACAATGATAGGTTGGAGCCCTGTGTCAAACAGAACCAGGGATAATGTAGTGCCATGAGGGTATGGGAATAGAAATGGAATATCTTTTTGCATTCCCGAATTCATTTTCATTCCTAGATTTTCATTTTTGATGTATGTTGGCTCTCCTGAGTTGTAAAAAATATCCTTAAACCTGCATTGCAAAGATCAGGTTCAGATAACTGCTGTGGATGTTGAAGAATGACTGAGATGATGCTGAAGGAAACCTAATTCTCTGTTTGGAAGAGGATTTGACAAGCTTTATTTCAGCCTTCTTATTCAGAGAATAAAAAAGTAATGTTTTTCAATAAGACTTGCTCTTCTCTAGTTTCTAACAAATTATGAGATTTTGAATGATTTAACATGACCAGCACTGTGTTTTTTTTTTTTTTTTTTTTTTTTTTTTTGTAAATAAATGACATGATTGCAATTTTTTTTTAATTTCCTGTTGTTTTTTTTCTTGGTTTTTTTTTAGGTTTCTTATTTTGACAAAAAATTTCAATCTATTAATCATAAATTCTAATTGTTTTCTATTAAAGTAGAATTTAACGTGTGTGGTTCAGTGTTCAAACACTAAGTTGTAGATTTTCCAAACTGTCAGTAAATCGTCACTAAGGGACAACATAAGGAACAGCAAGCAATTGCACTTAATCGCATGGAATTTAATTGGATTGTACTGCTTTCTGATTGCATCTGATCAGATAGGATGTAACAGAAGTTTGGCCAAAACTGTAATGTCAAACTCATTGCGTGGTGGACGTAATCTGGGGGAGGAACTGGCAGCGTGCTTTGCAAATTAGAAAGTAAGGATTCTGGAAGAACCTCAGCAAGACACACAAGACGTAGCATTCCTAAAGGCACCATGGGGCATCTTTGCAGGAGGCCCTGGCTCCCAACTCCTGCAGGTGTTGGAGAAGTAAGATTTGGGAGCTGTTCCCTCACAGATAACCTTTGTAGTGCATGTTCTAACTTCAAGCTCTTTGTCAGCCTGCTGCATGCTGCCTTTGGCCTCTGTTCCATAGATTACTGTCACCATTTGAAATAAACCACTGAGTCAGGCTGCAGATGTACTTACCGAGGATTATAAAACAACCCTTAGCTGAAACCCTGTACTGAAATTGTTCGTGCAGTGCAGGTCTGTATGCCACAAAAGGCATGTAGCACTGTGGGTTGACTTTGCAATAATCCTTTCTTGCCTGCCCCCACTTCCCCCCCCCCCCCCCCCCCATATCATTCATTCCTACTGGAGTATTTTGAAAAGCTTGCAGTAGGCTATTGAACCCACCCACTTTCCTCTGCACTGTTGGAGTTCAATAGCAATATTTACCTTGTTTCTGGTGCCTGTGTAGCGGTTAACTTTCTGTTTAAAATAGTATTTCTTTCTGTGGAGGAAAAGATAACTGGCACGCTAGGCTGCAAATTATTTGGTGAGTCACCAGTTAATACACATGTCCTGAATAGAAAAGCACTGCAGCTGCTAATTGCTGTTTATTGCTTGACATTATGTACAAGAAAAGAAAAGGTAATTGGTATGTACAGCCTTTTATTAGGTGGTTTATATATACAAGTGGCAAATACACAGAGGGGCTTTTTAGGCTCTACTTCTGTAAACATATAAGTCATATGCTGTGGGCTCTTTTTGTCTTTTTTCCTCTCCCACATCCATGGATAAGCTGCGGGGGTGGATCAGGAAGGATGTAGGACTTTCCATCAGAGAAAGAGATGATTTATAAGACAGTCATTGGCATTTGCTGTTAGAGCTCTTCTTTCTCTCTGAACATAATTTGCCCTGAGAGAGAAATAAAATTCCTCAAGTCATCTGTGTGAGAAAATAAGTGGAAATGAACTGAGAAGTTTCATGATCAAAACAAGACTGACCTTAAAAAGTGGAATTTTGCTATCGTTCTGATTATGCAGAAACACTGAAATCCGTGTTTCCACGTGTGCTTATTTGCAGAGCTAATGCCTCCATGGGTTCATTTTCGGTAGTTTCTGAAGCCATTTCATGGGTGTAATTTGGGGTGGAATCTGAGTGAAAGTGAGAGAAATGCCAAAGGGCTTGTTCTTACTTGCTGCAGAAACAGGAATCAGAGAGGTTTCTGTTGTTCTGTTTTTGTTGCTGTTTTTCCCCGGGGATGAGTTTTTAGGCTTTGTCTCCCTCTGTTTTTGATACAGCCTTTGCCATATTGCCAGTGTGTTTGATTGCTGTCAAATTTCTGCCTTTTCAACGAACCGAGGAAGAACAATGTTAATATATATAACTTTAATAATGAGAAGATTTTATGCTCTTTGTGAGGGTTAAAAAAAAAAAAAGAGTTGAGTCTCGATTGTTTTTTTGTTGTTGTTTTCAGTAAATATAGCTGCCACTTCAGATGTTTGAGAGTTTCTGCTGGTTTTTTTGCTTCTTTATTAATCCTGACAAAGATGTTATTTGCAATTGCGACTCAGGCTTAGCCTACTTCTATATGGCACAGTAGAAGAACTCTATATGTATCACTATGTATTTAAATCATACTTGCTGCTGCCCCTGATCAGGTTGTCTTAGTGCTTGAAAGTGGGTTACAAAATGCATTTTCTTGTCTGTCATTCAGCCAGGTGATGGGTTAAAGATTTGTGGGCGTATTCGAGTTTCCCAGTTCCTGTATAAAGTACAGCCAAGAGCTGCCCTCAGAATAAACCTGGGCTTGGCACAGATTGGTTCTAAACATGATTAGATATAAGCATGAGATAAGGGGAACTAGTTGGGAAATGGAAACATTTCGGAATTCTCCTGTCTGTGGCATCGAAAAAGTCCTTGAAAAGCATTGGTTCTTTCATTTGTAACAATTGATGAGTGAAAAGCTTCAGATTAAAAGAAGTTTAATTTACAAGTTAGGATTATGCAAATGCTTGGTTGTTTTGTTTCTTTTTTTCCTCTTCTGTAGTGAACTTTGGGAAAAATTAAACACAATTTCAGTAAAGCAAAATATAATGATTAGTTTGTACTTAATTTTTTTTCTTACAGCATCTGAAAGCACTCCATTGAGAGTTGTGGGTTAAATCCCATGACAGTCTGTACTGGCTGTGGCAAATCGCTCTGGGAAGCTGAGGCAGAAAGAATTGGAGGGAGCTGGCTGAGTTCGTAAAGGAAATCTCTGCTGGAAGTGGGATTGGAGCACAGTTTCCTGATGCCCAGGGCTGTACTGCATAGCAGGAATACAAAGGTCTGCTCTGCTTGCATTTAGCCCGTTGAAAACTGAGATGTACGCTCGGATGACGCATCAGGAAGAAGAGCACATCTCCATGTACATCTTCGACAGCAAAGCACTGGAGCCTGGGAAACTGTTGTTTGTTGTTGTAAATTATCTTCCCCACTTCCAGCTGGACTTGGACTTTATATGAAGAATATGTAACTGTTGGATGCAGAAGTACAGCAGTGAGGGGATTGTCTGCCCTACTGTGGGAATGTGATGTTCTGATGCCCACGGCTGCAATGTGCTTTGTGGTCTCTTGGGTTGCACAGCATTAGCAATAGCAGTGAGAGATACGGTGGTGTGAGTCTGAGTTGGCAGCTTTCTTTGCAATTATGAAATGAGCGCATGATGAATTTTTGAAGAGATGAGTAACTTGACTTTGTATCATATCCATGCTAACAGATTTTCTTAGAGAAGGATGTGTTTTTCTCTTATTTTGAGCAGAAATACAACATACAGACATATTTCAGTGTCAGGTTTATGTTTAAGTGTAGGTAATGCAGAAAAAGTCCAACATGCATGGTGTATATAATACTTCCTTGGAATTAAATGTGGTTTGGGCAAAGCATGTGTGTATTTGTGGGTGTTTTCAGTACAAAAAGGGACAAAAAGACCTTTTGTCAAGCTGTAGTTTCTATGTGGAGCAGTGCTTTGTGGATACAGCTCATTTGTTTGTTTCTTTGTGCAAATGTTTTTCACCAGTTTGACTCTACTAAGTGTTCTCTTCAGACTTCGGAATTATTAGAGCTAACCATTTCTTTTTCTAAAGAAACGTTTCAAATTCTGTCTGCTGGCAGACAAGCAGCTGGCAAGGTCACAAAGGCTCGGGGTGAGCAGAGGTGTTACAATGAGGTGTCAGAAAGGAGATATTCCTGCCAGCACCTGGGATTCGAGGTGATGCATCGATCTGAATTTGTTTTGGTTCTGAATTTATTTCCGAGCTGCCGACACGCGGAGATTCAGCATTTCGCCCCAAACACCCCGTTTCCCTGCCTTTCAGTGCTGTTTTCCCGGGGTTCGAACACGTGGCCTGGAGCTCTAGCTCCGGCGGGGAGGTGGGACTTAGCGAGATTGATGGGCTAACGAGCCAATGGCTTGCTTGAAAACCTGTAGCAACTGAGCCGCTGTCTCCCGCTAGAAACACGAGGAGGGGGCGTTCGAGGTGCGCGGCCCCGCAATGGGAGCCGAGGTGGGCGGGGTTACCTCAGACGGGTGCGCCAATAGGCGGCGGCAGGGCGGCCGCAGCGACGCGAGGATGGACGGGGCTGTTGTTACCCCTCACCAATGAATGCTGAGGGGGGCGGGGCCGGGCGGGAGCGGTCCAATAGCATGGCTGGGGGGCGGGGCCCAGCGTTCTGTCAGAACGCCGCGGCAGCGGGCTGAGGGCTGAGCGAGCGCGGCTGCGGTTCGGCGCGGGCAGGCGGTGAGGCGGGGACGGACGGACGGACGGACGGACGGGCGGAGCGGGACGGGACCGACTCCCCGCTGAGCCGAACCCCTTCGCCTTCCCGAGCCGCGACAGGAGGTCGGCGCCGTCTGTCGCGAAAAACGACCATCTCCGTTCTGTCGCGACATGACGCGCTTCGCTGCCGTTCCCCGCCGCTGACGCCGGGCTTCGGGCACGACGAGACCGCAGCGCTCCCGGCGATCAGGTCATGCCGCCGCCCGCCCGCGCCGCCGCCCGCCGCCGTGTCCTCACCGCCGGGATGGGCCGCGGGAGCTGAGCCGGCGCGGAGGATGAGCCAGGCGGGCAGCCCGGGGAGAGCCTACGACTTTCTGCTGAAGTTCCTGCTGGTGGGAGACAGCGACGTGGGCAAGGGCGAGATCTTGGCCAGCCTGCAGGACGGCGCCGCCGAGTCGCCCTACGGCTATCACATGGGTAAGGGCCGCCCCGCCCGCGGGACCGGCTGCGCCGTGCGGGGACGCGGAGCTGCCGGCGGAGCGGGATCCCGACGCGGTGTAACGGGCCGTGCGGGTCATCTGCGCTGTGCAGCTTCATACACAGAACGCTTTGTCAGGGTGGTGAGATTTCTCTTACTGAGCAGTCATCCGTAAAGGAAGAGAAACGCTAGGAAAAATCTTGTTCTTGTAAGTATCCGTGAAACAGCAAATGTATTTGCTCTGAAACAGCTTTCGCTGGAAGAAGAGATTGCTTTTTCTCCCTGTTTATCGCTCTTCCACATCAGAAGAGTGGCCCTTTAAGACCAAGGTTCGCGTTTGTAGTGTGTTCTTTCACTTAAGCTTTTTAAAGGGCAAGACAGAAGAGCCTCATCCGTGCCAGGTATGTTCTGTCTGCAAACCAGAGTTCTGAACACTGCCAGCTGATTTAAACCTGAGCCAGTGGCTTTGGGAAAAGGGATTTTTTTTTTCCTTCTTTCTCCCTGTTCTCTTCATGTCCCCTGACCTATTTTCCTAGAACACAACTCTAGTCTCCCCTTTTCCTTCCTACTGCAAACCTATTGTGTGAGTTATTAAAAAACAAGCGATCTTGTAAAATTACCCGTTGCTTCAAATTACTGCTACTATAAGTCTCTGACTAGTTAATTCATTTGGAAGGCTTTGCATTTGTTATTATATTGAGTTCGTTGCACTGAATCAAAGCAAAGGAGTGGGTGGAGGTGGAGAGTTCTTTTTGTGGTTGCTTATGAGTCAGACTGCGCCTCGAAGGTATCTGTGTGCATTTTAAGATGTTTACTTAATAGCTTTTGCTACCTTCCTCCTTGGGATGTTGCAGTCTCCTCAGTCTGGATCCTCCAGGTGACTGGAGAAAAAGGGGAAAGGGCTTCAGGGGGGAGCAAGCCAAGTCTGGCCCTGTTCTGTACATGTGGTCTAAGTTTATACATCCTTATTCAGCAGCAGCAGTGCAGTCTCCAGTATGCCTTGACATAACAGTTTTTGACCAGCTCCCAAGCTCATAGATCATACTTTAGTCCTTGCATATAAACCTTTTGCTACTCGTGGCTTGCATGCAAATCACATTTAAATTGTGTTGGCATCTCTGTGAGTGCATCTCTTGACAGCCAAGAAATACAAATATTCTCTTGGAATTATTTAGTGAGTACTTAATGTGCCACTTGGAGAATCTTCATCCATAATAACATCTCCAAAATATTTCCACACGAGGCTGTACGTTCTGTGCTGTGCTTTGTGGATTGTGGTCTCTTCACCAGTCTTAACTATACACAGACAGATCCAGTTATTCATGTCTCACCAAACCTCTTATGCACAAGTTGTTCTTCCATGGAGAGAGAAAGGAGTTGTAGCCACAAGCTGATGTGCACATGTGAAGAGAGGGGTGTGAGACACAAGTGAGGGCAGATGTAATGGAGGATGTGGTCCTGGGCTGTAAAGGAACACGTTAATGAGCGGCATCCCCAGGGGTCTGTCTTGGGACTGGTGCTCTTTAACATCTTTATCAATGACAGTGATGATGGAATCAAGTGCACCCTCAGCAAGTTTGCTGATGACACCAAGCTGAGTGGTGCGGTCGACACAGCTGAAGGAAGGGATGCCATTCAGAGGGACCTCGAGAGGCTGGAAAGGTGGGCCCGGGTGAACCTGATGAGGTTCAACATGGCAAGTGCAGAGTTTTACACTTTGGGCAGGCATCCATACAGACTGGAAGGAACAGTCCTTGAGAGCAGCCCTGTGGAGAAGGACCTGGGGGTCTTGATAGATGAAAAACTTAACATGAGCCAGCAGTGTGCTCTTGTGTCTTGGAAGGCAAATGGTATCCTGGGCTCCATCAAAAGAGCGGTGGCAGCAGGGACTGGGAGGTGATTGTCCCCCTCTACTCTACTCTTGTGAGGCCCCATCTGGAATACTGTGTCCAATATGGAGCCCCCAGTACAAAAAAGACAGGGAAGTATTGGAGAGAGTCCAGAGGAGGGCCACTAGGATGATCAGGGGACTGGAGCACCTCCCCTATGAAGACAGGCTGAGGGAGCTGGGCTTGTTCAGCCTGGAGAAAAGAAGGCTGTGGGGTGACCTCATTGCAGCATTTCAATACCTAAAGGGAGCCTACAGAGGGGAGGGGAATCAACTCTTTGAAAGGGTTGCTATGTGTAGGATGAGGGGAAATGGTTTTAAGTTGAGGGAGGGGAGATTTAGGTCGGACATCAGGGGGAAATTCTTTACCCAGAGAGTGGTGAGGTGCTGGAACAGCTGCCCAGGGAGGTTGAGGATGCCCCGTCCCTGGAGGTGTTCAAGGCCAGGTTGGATGGGGCCCTGGGCAGCCTGGTCTAGCATTAAACATGGAGGTTGGTGGCCCTGCATGTGGCAGGGGTTGGAGATTCATGATCCTTGAGGTCCCTTCCAACCCTGGCCATTCTGTGATTCTGTGATTTAATCTTACATTTTGTGCAACTGTGGTATAATTAAGATTTTGTTTACACAACCACAGCATACCGTTACATCTCACTTAATGAAAGATGTTGACTTGAACTGTGGAAAATCTGTAGAAAATACTTTCTTGCTCTTCATCCATCTCTGTTTTTTAAGGTATAATGTTTTCTCCACTGTACCAAATGTGGAGGACTTTTGAACACTTGCATGTATGCTTACCAGTTGTTATCCCTTAATATCCCTTCAGCTCTTCCTGCATCACTTGAGTACAGCAACATAGGATGCAGCTGTGGGAGACCTGTGCGGGCTGTGAGAATAGAGATGCTGTGAGAGGGAGCAAGCTAAACATCCTGTTGGTGTTATGACTCACTTTCTGATTTGACTTAAAAGCTTGATAAACAGGAGGAGAATTGAAGTGAGCCCTGCAGGACATGAAGAGAGGTAGGAGGAAGACATGGTGAGGATGAGCTGATCAGCAAAGAACGCTGCTTGTTGTCTTCGGCAGCATCAGATTAGTTGAGCAAGCAAGGAGAATGAAGACAAAGTAGAACACAGAGTTGACCAGAACAGCATGTGCTATCGTTTGGGTTTTTTTTTTTGGTGTGGTGGTTTGTTTGGATTTTTTGTTTAGCTTTTGAATGTCCAAAGGCTTTGTGTTCATCTATGAGCTGTGTAATTGTGCCATCTCATGTGTATGGGCTCAAACTTCAGTTGTATAAACCAGAAATAATTTTTTTGCAGACGCTTTGACTAGTTATTCAAAAATAAACCTGCAGTCTCTCTCATTCCTGGGAAAATACAGCAGTCACGTGTCTTACTATTTTTTGTCAGTACACAAAATTGATATAAAATCTGGAGGCAGGAAGGGAAGCCAGCATCGTGTGGTCTCTCAAGTCTCTGCAAGCTGCTGCTGGTCCAGGAGCTGTGGTATGAAAGCATTTGGCATAATACAGCTAGTAAGATGAAGTACAGCCTCTTCATCTCTGAATTCTTAATGACCAGAGGGCTCTGGCTTGGAAAGAAGAGAAGAAGCTTTATTAACATAACAAAGTAGGGACTGCTATGGAAGATACATTAGTGAGCACGATTCATAAAGATAATCCAGGAAGCAGTTATTCTGAAGGTGGGCAGGTAGGCAGTAAGGTTAGTTGTCTGGGTAACCTGCCGTTAGAGGTTTCCCACGTCTTGCTGAAAACTGAAATATTACAGGTTGGACACGCTT